GAGGAAGGCCATATGTTGGAATGCTATGCTATAGACTGGTTTTGAGAGCATGACTGAAATTGATTACCTCCAAAATTCCTTTCAATGTTATGCTACTATAAAATCATTTTACTTTACCAAAAACACTTTAGCAAGTTTATTAGATATACAGGTTGTCCTTGACTTATAAAGTACAAAGTTGTGTTTTAGCAGTTTGGCTTCAGCTAGTTATCCCTGTAGTATATAGTCATCAGGTTCAGAGTGGTCATTAGGGTCAGTTTTTCCTCTGGGCCTTTTGTCAGTTCATCAACATAACTAAAGCTTCTAGTAGCTTCTAGCAATAATTGGTCATTGGTGTATATGTTAAATAGCACAGGAGCTAACACACTGCCTTATGTAGTCATCAGGTTCAGAGTGTAGTCATTAGAGTCAGTTTTTTCTTGATAGTCTAAAAAGTTATGCTCTGTGCGTCTGTTGCCAGATCTTCGATATAGGCAAAGCTTCTAATAGCTTCTGGCAATAGTTGGTCATTGGTGTATATGTTAATCAGCATAGGAGCTAACACTGTCTTGAGGGAGTCTGCTTCTTTAGGTTCTCCATCAACCGTGTTTCCCTGAAAGTTGATATAAAATCTATGATTTTCTAGTAGACATCCTATAATTTTCATGAATTTAAAATCCTTGTAAGGTGAAAGACTTTCTTCAACAGGGCCACATGTTGAAGAAGCCACACTGAGATAAGTGAAACCTCACTCCTATGATTTCCTTCAGTTTGAAGCCATCCTCTGTGTACTGTATTGGATTAATCTGAGCTGTAAAGTTTTTGCCAGGCCTGAAAATTAAAGTTAGATTATTAAAGTTAAAAAAATATAATTAAAATATTGGGAATGTAGTAAAAATATTGTTTAAATATTTAACACATTAGCATAAAAATATAATTGTGAAATTTTAATAAATAATGGCCAAAAGAAAATTGCAAACCCAAATTTATCAATTTACTTTTTTTTCAATTCTACAAGCAATTATATAAACTTGATGAAATGGCTGATCAACATCAAATGGTTGCTTTTTTTAAAGCAAATCATATTCACCCATTATCATAGGACTTTACTGATGTTTTGAAAACTCTTTTGAAACCACAAGCAATATTACAGACATTTGATGAAAAACAAGAAAATCCTTGATCTGAATTGCTTCTCTGTTGAATGGTATATAAACCATTTAGAGATTTCTTGTACCCAACATTTTTAGAGTCTATCATCATTTAAATTCAGAAAATTGCCTTTATCATTTTATGAGACATATATGATGCTGATTTTAAAACTAGATGAAGTTCTAAATTCTATGCAAGTTAATAATTTGGATATTAAACTATTAATTGCTTTGTTGGTTAGTAATTGCAGAGAGTGTTATAATACATAATTTCATTTCAGTCAATTGATTAAAAGTAGATAAGCATCAGATAATTTTTACTTATTAATTGTATTCTGGATATGGCTCAGAATAAATTGGATTATGATCTATTAATATCTTTGAATGCTAAAAAGCTTTTGACAAGATTCAGATTAATTTTCTACAGCAAATAGTTGTAGGTATGAATTTTTACCTTGTACAATGATGTGCAATTTATTATTTTCAATCAATGGCAAAATTAATAACAGATTGAATTGACTCAGGATGAATTGAATTGAATTGAATTGACTCAGATTGAATTGAATTGACTCAGGATGAATTGAATTACAATATGGCATCTCAGGTTGTCTACCGTTTCTACTACTTTTTACTCAATTCTGGAACTAGTATGTGAGAATAACCCTGAGAGACAAGGGAAAAAATGCTTCCAAGGAAATGATCAAGCAAGAAGTGGGGAGCTCTCAGTGGCTTATTGGTTAGTAGAAGAAATTTAGGAAGAATTTCTCCTAATTGATCAGCTGGTTAAAACTGGCATCAGAAGGCTTGTACTTTTAGACTTGCATGATTTTGCTACTATAAATGTACAATAAAGTAGAATTAGCTCATCTAGTCATATTTATTGTCTGGTTTACATGAGAAGGCGGGTGGAAGCCATATGCTAGCAGATTCTAATTATTTTTATTTGCTGATGTTATTTGGCAATATTAGGTCATTCTTATACCTCATTACCTAACTTGATATAGGTGGTTGAAAAATTTGGAAAATACTCAGGTTATAAGATTAAGTGAGAAAAGAATAATTAATTTACTTCCTGTGGGATTCTTTTAAAATCTTAACAGTTATTTGGATCAACATACAGCAAAAAGGGTCTTTTTATGTTCTGGTTTGTAAGCAGGTATTTGGGCTCTGTTGAGGTGTAGATTGGATTTTGATGCTGAATCTGATGAAGGCTTAAATTTATGGAGAAATTTATTTTAAAAATAGGTGGTAAGTATATATTCCAAGTAAATAGGGGAAAGTATGAACAAGGAGAAATAGTTACTTTAAATCTATTATTTTGTAATGATTATTTTAAGGAATTTCATGACTTCAGCTAGAATTTTCTTTGTCTAATAAACAACAGTGCAATATAGTAAAGCATGTTTTGATTGCTCAGTATGGACATTTATTTGCCTCAAAGACTAAAATGCTATCATTTCCATTGGAGTCTGCACCTGAAATATAATGCATTTTATATCAATATAATAAATTTTAAATTATATTTTAAATTACTAAGATTTATGACTTACAAAGAAGCAAGATAGTTAGGATATTGAGGCTTTTGAAGTCAGTGTTAGTCCAATTCATGACATACTATGGACAGTGAAGAAAAGAAAAAAATGGATCATTGAGCAAATCAACCCTGAGATCTCACTTGAGGTACAAATTACCAGGCTCAAACAATCCTACTTTGGACATACTATGCAAAGACCCAGCTCTCTGGGAAAGATTCTGGTACAGGAAAAGGTGGATAGAATGACAAAAACAGGAGATAATAGCAAGGTCAGTAGATTCAGTTACAGTGGCGATGGGTCTGCTGTTGGAAGACCATTACTGAACAGGTAGTCCTTGACTTACAACCACAATTGAGCGCCAAATTTCTGTTACTAAGTGAGACATTTGTTAAGTGAATCACTGCAGTTGTTAAGTTAGTAACCCAGTTATTAAGTGAATCTGGCTTCTTCATTGACTTTGCTATCAGAAGGTCGCAAAGTGTGATCACTTGACCCCAGGACTTTACAACCATCATAAATATGAGTCAGTTACCCAAGCAGCCTAATTTTGATCATATGACCATGGGGGGTTTGCAATGGTTGCAAATATGAAAAATAGTCATGTCACTTTTTTCAGTCCTATTATAATTTCAAATGGTCACTAAATGAACTATTGTAAGCCAAGGACTACATGTATTATTGTTTTGGATTTTACTATCCAACTATCTTTCTGCTGTGGATTACAGTTGTACTAAGATATAAATTAGATGCAGATAGAAAATTCTGGAAGTTTTTTGGAAATGAAAAAAACCCGATCAGTACGAGTAAAAAGACCTCCTATCTATATGAAAGATTAACTATTCAGGACTCAATAGACAAAGAACTTCCTGATTCTGAGAACGATGCTGGAAATGAAGAAGAGGGGAAACTTCAAAACAACTAATGTCAATACTGTCTGCCTGCAAGAAACACATATACAACAAAACCCACAACCCACAACCTTCCCCTCAAAAAAAACATGCAGGCACTTAGCAAGAAAATAACTTCAAATATCTCTTTAAAAAATCACTTCAAACATCCCTAAAAAAGTCACAGCAACAAACACACCAGAGATAAACAGACAAGCACCCCAGACTTCACACACACCCCCAAAAGAAGGCGAGTGTTGGTAATAGGAGATTCTATCCTCAAAGGAACGGAATCATCCATCTGCAGACTGGACATACATTCCAGTGAGGTACTGTATGTTGTCTCCCTGGAGCAAAAATCAAAGATGTGGCTGAGAACCTAATCAAAATAATTAGGCCTATAGATTACTACCCCTTCCTCCTCCTCCATATTGGGACGAATGGCACAACAAGCAACCTGAGTACAATAGTGAGAGACTACATACAACTAGGCAATAAAGTTAAGCTAGGAGCACAAGTAGTGTTCTCATCAGTACTCCCAATGAAAGGCCAACACCCATTGAGGGAAAGAAGAATTCTATAAAGAAACTATTGGCTAAAGAGTTGGTGTCTCCAAAAAAACTTTGGTTTCCTGGATCATGGACTTCATTTCCTTTGCAAAGGACTCTTGGCAAGGGATGGGCTGCACCTCATGGAAAAATGCACTCGGAAAAAAACTGGCCCAACTCATCAGGAGGGCTTTAAACTAAAATTGAGGGGGGAAGGTGACCAATCTTCAGAATCTCTACAACCCAAAACCAATCATAAATCCCAAGAAAACAAAACAATGAGGTGGGCAGAGATGAGAAAAAAGAAAAACTCAAACAACATTCAGAAGATGTAGGAAAGGAAAGCACAGAAAAGCACAAAAGTCTTAAATATTTATATACAAATGCTCAAAGCTTGGGGAACAAACAGAACCCAAAACCAGACTATGACTCAAAGGCAACTAAATGAACAAATACCATTTGCATCACACAGATGATACTTAAACACTAAAGATTATGACCCAACAACAACAACCAGCCAATCAAATAGCCTGAAACCAAACCATAACTCAGAAACATCTGGACAAATAACACCCACACCAATTTACATCACACAAAAGGTATTTAAAGGCCAGTGCTCTGACAGACAAGCACAATTCAAAGTGTACTGAAGATGTCCCCCTAAATGGAGACGAAATGTTTGCAGCCAAATCGCAAAGCTCAGAGATCAAACCAACAGCCCAATAAAATACTATATAAGTGTCATGCAGACCTCTCAGGAAAAGCACCATAATTAATAAGTTTTCTTTCTCACTTCTCCATGTGAAATTCTCTGTGTCTCACTTCTGAATGTTTTATTCTCTGTTCATTGATGAAAAGTTATCTGAGGCAAGCCTGTGTTTTGTTCTTTTCTGTTTGTAGCAAAGGGATGCTATGCAAAACAACTTAAAGAAACTGCAGCAGAAGATGGCTATCATTGAAGCTGTCCTCAAACAGGGAAGCCAGAATGTTGGCCCTGAAGGATGGTCACTGGAAGGAGAGGAAACTGATTTCAAAAGAGACAAGACAGAAACAAGAAAGAGTGAGTTGGCAGTGCTCTGAAACTGCCTTTTTTTAAAAAATAATAATAAAATCCTGAGAGTTTAGAAAATTTTTCCTAATTATAAAACATTAACAAAATATTCATTTTAAATGGAATATCCTGTTATGAATGTATGTATAAAATGCATAGATTATTGAATGAATGCATTTCATACATAAATCCTCTGGTTTTTATCAGAGAAATATTAAATCGCTAATTTGCTGGGTTTAGTATACACAGTGTAGGAATCAAGCATCCACTAGGAATTGACTCAAAGCTGAGAGGAACAATCCATTGTTAAGTGCTTTCTATTAATTTCCTTCTGGTAGTTTTATCTGTACTGTTTCATTCTAAACACATGCCTTCTGTGTGGTATAGTACCATGGTATAATTGCCACTGATGAATTATAGAGTTAATTTTGTTTTGTTACTAATGGAGTTTATGAATATTAACTCTGAATTCTGTTGCCATGGCAGTAGTTTTGAAATGGATTTCTATTGCATTGTGATGGTGTATTAACTAGTTGAGGAAAATAAACTAGTTTGGTCTTAGGGAAGCTACTCCAAGAAATGAACTTGTTCCAGGATTTTTCTTTGCAATTCTCTTGAACTGTGCTTCTACATAAAGAAGATTAGTTTAATTATATCATCAGAAAAGCCAATTATATTTCATGGCACAACAAAATATACAATAGTGAGATCTCAGAGGCTTATATCTTTTTGACATTTTATTGAAGTAGAAGAACTGTAGGTAATAGACATAATTAAGAGCCTTCTAAAGAAGGATGGTTCAGGTAAATAGAGCACAAATCTCTGCCAGTTTCAAGGCACTCCTAGGATGCTGCAATGAGAACCAGAATTAAAATATCAACGGGAACAATAAAGTTGCTTCCAGGGGCTAGAAAAAAACCATTCTAAATAGACAAGGTGGATCAGAATTATTAGGACAGCTGAATTCTTTCAAAAGATTCTGTTCAATAGATTGCCACATTGTGCTGGAATCCTTGTAAATCTCTAGGATGAGAACGTTCTGGTAAAAAGCAGAATAGCCATAGCTGTGAAGTATTTAGAGATACTATATTTTGCCTTGGGAATGATACAAATTTGAATGTAATCTCAATCTCAAGTAAAAATAGAGTTAGTAATCCCTATTCTCAGTCACTCTCAGACAGCAATTCCATGGCATGGCTATCTAGATTAAATTAATTTAAGCTTGTGCAAGACTGGTTTTGTTTTGTATTAAATAATATTTTGAGATCAGGGTCATTGATGTCTCCACTATCTATTAATCCTCCCACTTACCCAATTAAGTATGTAATATAATGGACATCAAATTTCTCATGAGTCAGTTTCTAATTCTCTGGAGATCAAAGGAAAGCCCAAACATTTTACTGTAGTCCGGAGAAATAAATCAGCAATTATTTTATTTAAATAGTAATAATATTTAATTTGGAGAAAAAGGAAACCAATATTTCTGATTTTTATAAGATATTAAGCAAAGTGCAAGTGGAAATGTTTGCATTTCTTAGCTGTAATGGCTAAGTTGGGGGAAAATTAATTAGGAGTGTGTACTGGAATGCTGTTTGTTCTTGAATAGGCTATGTATTTCACAATTCTCTCTATATATACTTTAAGAACAGAAATATATTACTTATCATAAATTTTGTGGTCTTTTCTTATATTCTATTTATATACAAGTCCATGTATTACTATACTACCTCCTATATAGTGATCTGAAATATTTTTTTCTGGGTTTGAAGAATTATATCCAGAAAGAATCTTATTTGTTGTGAGAAAAATACATTAATTAAAAACAATATAAAAATACCTTAATTTTGCTGGAACAATCTTAAAGATGCTTGTTTTTGTAGGATCTCCAAATCCAATGAAAGCCAGTTCCTTCAGTTGCTGTAAATAACAGAACTGAAATATGAAATTAGTGAAATCAGTTAATTAGTTTCCTTTGTATCCTGAAACAAATTAATGCAGCCCTTGTTTGGTCTTTCATATCATAATAAAATATTATGGGTCATCTCATAAAAGTTTTAACAGATTATATTTTTGATAGCTTGATTACAAATTACAGCTTGTTCTCTTGGCTAGTTTAAAAAGTTTTTTGCTTCTTTTTAATTACTTTTTGGAAAGAGGAAATATATTAAGGCTGTTCAGAAGTAGGATAAACAAGAAGCACAAGGATTATTGCCTCAGGTCTTTAAGTTTTTTCCATGTTTTATCTTCTATTTTATCATTCATCCTGCCATGTGTATCACTTGACATTTTCTACTTTTAAAATGTGATTGAGAATTAGAAGTATAATTTGAATATTATGTAGGTCATATATTTAGCTGCATGCCCAATAGACAATTAAAAGATACAGGCACCTCTAAGAAGGAAGATTTTATATTTAATATATTTTTGTTAAAAAAAGTAATTTTAAAATAATTATTGTTAAATATAAAAGATGCCATTAATTATATAAACAAGATTTTTTTTCTTTTCTTTTCTAGAAATGCACACTGTATTGGAAAAACCAGTCTCTCCTTTGGCACATACCACCTGCTGTAGCACAAAGCAAAGGAATAGAAAGAGTCTACTTTGGACTGGAGGCCAAAAAATGTCTCTGGTGGCATCTGGGCTAAACCAGAGTGAATTGGTAAGCATGCTGTGATATGCTTGTAGATTTTTCACAGCAACAGATATAAACTTCTCTGAGCTTTAAGATTTTACGGGAGGCATTCTTTTAAAGATAAACCTGCTTTCATAGCTACTTTATTAAAAGTATAAAGCAATAAAACAATAAAAGCAGAGATCATACATATCCAAAATATTCAAGTGTTTAAACATATAAAACTCTATACGGATTACATGCCCATCCCAACAATGAGATTTTCAGCAATAGTTTGAGTATCAACCATAAAGTATTTGAAGGGATGCATTTTGAAAGGGCAAGTGCTGCAACAAAGAAGAGACATGCAGTGTAATCTGAATGGAACTGAACAAGTAGAAAGTTAATTGAAAGAAAACATTCTTCTAGCCCAGTGGTTCTCAACCTTTTTAATGCCGCGACCCCAACCGGTCGTAAGTCGAGGACTAAACCGGTCGTAAGTCGAGGACTACCCAACCGGTCGTAAGTCGAGGAATTTCCCTGCCCGGGAGCGCCGTGCATGCGTGGTTCCGCCCCCTGCGCCGGCCGAGGTGTAGCTGGCAAGCGGCAGAGACGGAGCAGGCCGACCACCAGCTGGCCCAGCCAAAGGGAGGTAAGGCACCCGCCGGAAAAGGGAAAAATGGCGGCAAAAAATATGGCGGACAGCCTTGCTTGGCGACCCCCATGAAATGGTCAATCGACCCCAAATGGGGTCCCGACCCACAGGTTGAGAACCACTGTTCTAGCCAATAGGACAACCAATTGAACTGGCTTAATTTGTCTTACCTATCACCAAACTAAGTCACTCACTGGAAGTGCTCCTAGACTTGGCCTTGACTTATATTCCAGTAGCAGCTGTGACTCACTTGTGTCCAGTTAGGCTCATCTACTAGTTGGACCTGTTTCTAAAATCCGTAGTAGGTGGCTATGTAAATATCTTAATTATCCTTGGATAATTATTTCTCCTATGATGGCGCAGTGGTTAGAATGCAGTACTGTGGGCTAACACCACTGCTCACTCCAGGAGTTCAATTCTGAATGGCACAAGATTGACTCAGCTTTCCATCCTTCCACGATCGGTAAAATGAGGACCCAGATTTTTTGGCGTAATATGCTGACTCTGTAAACCGCTTAGGGCTGTAAAGCACTGTGAAGCATATATAAGTCTAAGTGCTATTGCTATATGAATGTACTTATTGGCTCCGTGCTGATGGCATTCTGTTGCTATGTGATGGTCTGTCAAACTACTCATTTCCTAATTCTTTGAACCATCTTAATTTTGGATCTTATTTTTTCTATTATGTTTTTATAGTTCATAATCATGTTATCTGAGTAGGATAGTTAATTTATGGAAAAAGTGAGATATACATTTTTCTAATAAATGAAAAATTCCATTGAGGCCAGCAATCTCTGATGTACTGATAAAACCAATTATTTCTAATTCAGTTTTTCTTTTCTTCTAGCAACTAGTACGTAAATTTGCCAAGAAAACAGAGAGCACTTGGTCTAATAAAATTACTGAAGAAACAACCCATGTAATAATGAAAGCAGGTAAGTTAGAAATACAGAAATGAACTTCCTATTTGTTTTGTTTTCATAATTGATTAGGTAGGTAAGTATGCCTTTAGGACTATGAGATCTGAATTTAATATTAATATGCAATAGCTAGTCTTGCCTATTTTAGATTTTTCATGAGGTTCTGCCAAATTTTATTTTACATGGTAGCTCATTCATGTTCAGAGGTGTTCTTTCTAGTTGTTAAATATTGGATATAGTGATTAATACAAAATTTTTATTATATCATGTATTGCTAATATTCTTCCCAGAAGCATCTGGCTAGCTGTTTTCTGACAAAAAATATTGGTCAAGATATCTCTTAATAATTGTAATTTTGTGTAATGGTCTTGGAAGTCCTGAATGAAAATCCATACATTTCCTGTTACGTTTTGGTTCCATTTCCTGTTTTACACTTGTATGCAAAACTATAATTTTTCTTTTTGTGTCCTAGCATTGTAACAGCAGAACACAATAAAATGTGATTCAATGTTTGAATTTGTATCTAGAATACAAATAAAGGCTACAAATCAGCTAGAAAAGTTAACCTTTGGGTAAACAACTGCTACCTATTATTCAGGGTACTGTGTCAGCTTCCTTTGAACTCATACAGTATTTAAATTGGGTGTATCACAATTGAGAGTTAGTGCAGTTTTGGTCAGCCTGATGTTTTCCACAAATATTCTTCTAGCTCCTATATAAGTTGGGAATTCTGGGATTTACAATCCAATAAATATTAAAGTGAGGAAAAATATAGTATTCCTAAAAAAATCTATTTCTTTCCCACTTTTGAATATCAGTACCTATATTGCAAACAGTACCTATTTTTTCAGCCTCTAAAGCTACATGAAAGATGAAAATGTCAAAAAGGGGGGGGGGAACCTAAATCGTATATGATTTTTGTAATATTACTCCAAGAACCAATAAGATCATATGCTAACATAGAAGTCTTGTAAGTTGTTTTTCTCTTACTTCATTTGTAGAGTTTGTAATCTGTGGCTGCTATTTAGCAATTTTGCAAACTTGGGGCACCAAAAGAGCCACTGATCTTTGTTTGAATGACTACTTACCTGCCTCTGCACTATCGCTACAGCTGACTGTAATACAGTCTTCTGTTTTTTATCTATAGTTAAGAAGACTCCATTCTATCCATTTGCATAAAGGAGACTGAGCTTTTTTGTAGTCTGTATTTTAAGATATAATTTGCAATCTTGTTTTATATTGTTTCAAACTGTTATATTGGCCAGACTATGAAAAATATCATTTTAAAAGGAAGTATGTAATTGTTTAAATTAAATCAGTAAAGCTCCAGTCTCTGTAACTCAACAAGCTGCTTTTGAAATGACATATTTTTGAAAGCAGTTTCTGACATTGTGTGAAGACCTGCTCTAAAGGAAACATTTAAAAATAGTGAATAGTCTTTATTCTTTTAATATTGAACATTAAGTGATTTTTTTTCTTTTTAATCTTTAGATGAGGATCTGGTCTGTGAGAGAACTCTGAAATACTTTATAGGTATTGCTGCACAAAAATGGGTATTGAGCTACCAGTGTAAGTGTGAATATTCAATAAAAAAAATCTCCTCCCTCTCTCCATGCACACTCCCTTTCTGGTGCTCTGTGTATGTCAGTTTAGTGTTCAGGCATAGGTGTTATGTTGTTTTTCAGGTGTGGCTCTCTATAATAAAGACAGAATCCCGGTGTTTGCCTTAATAAGTTCTATGCATTTATTCAGCTTAAAGACAGGTCCCTCAAAGCAAGAGAGAACATTGAACAGAAGATGGGGCACACATTTATATATTTTCTTTGCTACCATTTTGTCACACAGGAGAGCTGGCACATAGTAAATAAAATAAAGAAGTACAGAATAGTCAACCTCCTCCCTTGGTGGCATTCCAAGGACATTGGGTGGTACCTCAGAGACAATGGGTGTTTTCTGGGGACTTTCCATGACTTTAAAGGCCTGCTGAGGTAACTGGGTTAATTGCACATATGTTCCATCAAAGCTATCATTAGATTCCTGATCAATATAGACTCTTATTTGTAAAAGTTCATATCATTAACATACATTAAATTATTGTAAGTTAGCTGTGCAATTATATCTGACATTTTGCCTTTAGCTAAACAAGAAACATTTCATCAAAATTCATCCAATAAAGCAATATTAAATAATATAGGAAAATAGAGGCAGTAAAACCATATTGGACAGTTCCATAAATCCACAGAGCGTCAACTAGTAGTCAAAAGAAAATGTTGTCTTTAGTAAATGTCAAACAGTATAAAAAGAGATATTCACATTTTCTTTTCTTCTTTTTTAAATATATTTTATTGGTTTTTTAATTTTAACAAAAAGTACTTGGGTCACACCGTGGTGTTTGGGTAAACAAACATTCCAAAGTAAAAAACATACATAAACAGCTCAACTTAATACATTCACTATCATCTCTCTATTTCCCTCAAATAACATAATAGATTTAATATATTCCATTTCTAGCTTAAATTTCTATTACTACTAAACCTGTTTTTATCAATTTACAATTACCATAGTCAAATATTGTTTTACATCAACAGATTATCACTTCAAGTATCTCTTCCAGATATATTCAAGCTCTTAATCTCTCTCATCCCTATTTTTTTCACCAATCTCATTTATTTCTTCTTCCAATAATAACTAACTTAGTTAAAAAACAATGTTAAATCTTAATTCATTTCAATTCATTAAACAAACTTCAAATTCCATCCAATTAATTATCATATCTTATCAAATCATATTATTATACACAAAAATCACCTAATTAATTTAAGCACTTCAAAGTTCCAATCTAAAAACTCAACATTTTTTCAATTCCAGTACATGATTTCCCTCAGAATCAATCTGTTATTCCAAAAAATATATTCTTAGTCTCTTTAAACTTATATATATCTATATATAATTATATATTTTTTTATCCTTAATGTAATCCATAAAGCCAAGTTTCTTTTTTCACTCCAATTTTAACTTTCATATTTCTATACCAGATAAATTTCCATAAAGCAAAAAGATCATCTAACTAATTTAAACACACATGTATATAATTGTATTTTTCTTACTTCTAACTTTAGATCATTATCCTTAAAACAATCCATAAAACCAGCATTGCCTTTTAATCCATTAAACAGTTTTACATTTCTTTTTCAGTCTAATTCTGGGGTTTTTTCTATGCCACACAGGCTTCCATAGAAGCGCTTCTCTTTCAGCCAGTAGATCCATTTTTGTTGCTTGTAGTAGTCTTTGAGAAAATATAAATCCCTTCCTCTGCAATAAACATCTTTTTCTCTTCTTGTAGCGTCGTTGCCTTGTAGTTTGAAATCTTAGTCTTTGTTTCTTCTGATTCTCTAAGTTGCAGAAGAGAGGGTTGTCAGGTGAAATAAGTTCCTCTTCTATCTCTGCAGATTCCTCTTCTGGTATATTTTGATTTATACCATATTCAGATGTAGCCTGGACATCCATTTGAACAAATGTAGTAGAATCTCTAGGTCTTAATTCTAAAGTACAGTTTTTAATTGTAGCACGTATTTCTGCAGTGGCCTCATAGATCTTTTCCAATATGAGTGCACAATTCAATTGTAGCTGAGGTTCCTCCATTTTAATACCAATGCTTAAAAGAAGGTCTCTTTTTCTTTTTTGTGGAGGCTATATTTAATGCAAACAACATCCACCCCCACTGCTTCTACAGCTGTACAGCTTATCTTTCCCTCAAAAGTATTTTGAGGTTCAATGTTCCATCTTTAAGAAAATAACCAGAAGTTGCAGTATTACACTTTTGCCACTAGATGCCCTCAGTGAGTTCACAAAGGTCTTTTCCAGAAATCAATTCCTTTTTTCTATCTTTTAAAGTATGATGTATGAGAAAAGAAATAATACAGTTCTTGAAAAGAGAGTAGAAAACCTTTTCTGTCTTTTTTCCTTTTTTATATCCAAAGAAAAAGATATACATAAAAGTAAAATATAGCCTTTTTCTATATTTATAAAACGCCTTTCTTCCCCAAAAAAGTAGAAGCTGCCTTTCCAAGCCAGGGAAATAATTCCAAAAGCTCTTACAGGTACCAAAAAAAAAGTAGAAAAGAGAGAGTTGCAAAGAAAGTTCTCACCCGGGTTCACCACGGGGGCACTCACAGCTTAGATGTTCTTTGACTTACGGTCTGAAGTGGCAGGGCGATTCACATTTTCTATCTTGACTGACACCAAGGATAGTTCAAGACTGTTTTTTTCTTGAGCAAAACCAGATAAGATGCTTGTAGATTTTCAAAGTATATGCCACTACCATTCTTTGCATGACAGCGTGAAACACACAAATTTTATACAGAATCTTGCATGAGCTTTGAAGATCATGTATGAATTATGAGCAAATAATCTATGGAATTGTTAGAGCAAACATAGTTTAGTTTAGTTTAGTTTGTATACATCCGATCTTTCAAATCCTTTTAGCTAAGCTAAGCAAAAATTAAGGAGCTCTGATACTAGATTTTCCAAAGTTTTATCTAGGGTCATGCTAACTAAGGTAGATATATTTTCATATTGTTTCATTTTCATACTATTCTCCTCCAAGAATCCTAGAATATGATTAAAAATATGGAAAATTGTTATTGAAAATATGGGGACAGGAGAAGAAAAGAAAACCAAGCATTTAGGTGTGCTGGTTATTTCATATAATTTAATTTGATTGTTTCTGGTCACCAGACATTTTTTTTCCTGTGACTATGTGATACATTATTCTGCCTACATTGCTCTTAGAGGGACTGGCATTATCTCCAGAAGTTAACCACAAACTATTTCAGCAGTGGAATTCTTGTAGAGAATGAATTTTAAAATCTATAAGGGGTAGGGAGGTGAGGTTTCTAGCGATGCGTTGTAATATTGCTAGCAGGCAGTATTATGTAAATATGGATTTACCCTTTTGCAACCCTTTACAGTTTTCTGTTAGTATCTTTAAAATAAATGTTACAGATGGTAAAAAAGTGCTACTTTAAATAATAATAACAATTTCTGCTTCAACTCATGTAGGGATTATACAGTCACTCGAAGCAAGAAGAGTTCTTAAAGAGGTATGACTGGCGTTTGTGGGAGGGGATAGGTAATTAATTAGTATATCTTTTTTTATATAAAAAGTTTTTTATTTATAAAACAGTTAAAACAAAGATGGACATAATGTAACATTCCAGTGTATATATTCCTAACAATTTGTTCCTCATCATACATATAATTCTTAATCTCTATATATACATATTTTCTATACAATACAGTCTCTAATTTGTTTCTCTATATATTAACATACAGTTTTATATATCTCTATCTTAACACTAACTTAAAACCCGAACAGTTCTCCTTGATTCACACCAACAATAGAATTTGTCCCAGATTTCAAAGTAATCTGACTCTGTCTTGTCCTTCATTTCCATTGTGAGCCTATCCATATCAGCACTCGATAGGATTTTATATAAAATCTCTTCTTCTGTTGGAATTTCTTTATTCCTCCAGTTTTGTGCATACGCCAATCTAGCAGCCGTGAGAATATGTAGCATCAAGTAAAGTATCCCTTTATCGTATTTCTGCGTAGTTATGCCTAGTAGGAAGAGTTCTGGTTTTAGCTCTACCTCTATCATTAGTATTTCTTCCAGCCATTTTTTAACCTTGTTCCAAAAGTCACAGGCTTTTGAGCACTCCCACCACATGTGGTAATATGTCCCTCTTGCCAATTTACATTTCCAGCATGTGGAAGAAATATTTGGACTCATTTTAGCTAATCTTGTGGGTGGGAGATGCCATCTGTAGAACATTTTGTAGAGGTTTTCTTTGTAGGAGGTGGCCAAAGTAAGCTTCCTATTTCGTACCCATAGTTCTTGCCAGATATGCAGATCAAAGTTGAGATCAAAATCCCTGCTCCACGTTAACATGGTTTCTTTTACCTGTTCCTCATACATTGCCTGATCTAACAAATAATGATATAGCTTTTTAATCATTTTATCCTCAGTACCTAGTATTATTTTATCCAGCCCTACCGGTTCTATTTTTATGCCTAACTCTTTTTTATCTTTTCAATATCTCGCCTGCAGTTGAAGGTATGCTCACCATTCTAGTTGTATCCCTTCATCTTGAAGAATTTTCCTGGGTTTCAATTCCCCTTTCTCATCTAGTACGTTTTTATATCTTCCCTAATTGGATAAACTTTGGATGTACATGCATTTCTAACGATGAGATCCAGCCGGGGACTTGAGTATAGTTTGGTTGCCAGGTTTTAACCCATACGTCAGTTAAAGCTCGTCTGATATAATGCCTTCGAAAATATTTGTGTGTCTTATATTTCTGGTCCCATAGCATAGCATGCCATCCTATTTGTAAATCATGACCTTCCAGACATAATAATCTCCTGTTCTTCAAAAGTATCCAGTCCCGCACCCATACTAGTACTATGGTCTCATAATATTTTTCCAGATCAGGGAGGCCAAGTCCCCCTCTTTCCTTCGAATCCTGCAGTAATTTTAATTTAATCCTTGCTTTTTTTCCTTGCCAAATAAATTTGAGTATAGTTTTGTTGAAGTTTTGAAAAAAATTCTTATCCAATTTTATGGGTATAGTATATCTTTTTTTGTCGTTCCTTTAAATGCTTAGTCTTATACAATTCTCAGTACAGTGATAGTAATGGAATGTATGTATAATGTATAACATGTGAATTTTACAAATCTTCAACTGAAAAGTATCTGGCATATTTTAAAATCTAAACTAAGAAAATATATTTCTGAGTATGTAAAAAAATTACTTGTAGATGAAAATCCTACAATTACAGTGGCAACAGCCAGATTTTTAACTATGGCTATAAAATTTAAACTATTAATAATGAACCAATGATTTACTTTAAGTCTATTATGTATTTTTTACTAAATAGTTTAGTTGTTTTATCCAGTACTAAGTTTATAGTGTTTGTAACTTGCTTTTGGGGCTTTGGGCTGTTAACAAAATTGATTGATTGATTGAATATTTAGTAGAGTCTAATGACCGAGAAGAGAATAGACATGAAAAATAGAGAAATCCTTAGTATGTCTGTGAATTGCCGCCTGAGAGGAGAAGAACAACTAACAACAGGGGAGCCATTCTTTAAGGATTGGAAACACAATTTCCGAACTTCAACTGGGACTTCTTTTCTCTTTCTTCAGGCACTTCATCTGACATTTTGCCTGTAACATGCTAAAATGGAATCAAGCCACAGAAATTTAGAAATATAACACAATAATTAAAAAAATTAAAAATATAACACAATAAATGTTCTGTTTCCCAAAGTAACAAACTTTGGTCAATTTAAATGGATTGCCAAACTCGTTGGATGAAAGAAGGTATTAATATTTAGCTGGGGTAATTTCTGCAGTGCTACTGTCAACACTGCAACAATCTTGGCTGAAGCCATTTTTGCTTCATTTTCGGTTGCCACAGTACTGGGAGGGGGGATGAGTGGTTTTAAGGTTAGACTAAACAGTAAATTGTCCCATGGGAACCAAGGTCATTGCTGCCTGACTTTTGCGGGCTGAGCCTTCCTTGTTAGAAAGTCTACTAAAGTATTCTATTGGGGAACATGGATAATTACATAGTGCTGGGGTGGGAAGTTCAACTTTGTAACATTGTAACACTTGGGAGGGAACTCCAGACTTGGTTTCACTTTTGACTGTGCTGATACTTTGTAGCCAATAAATATGTTCTTTAAGGAAACCTCTTGCCTTGGAGTTCTGCTTTTACTGGTCTCATCTATCAGAACTGTGACGGGGGTGTATGTCTTCCTGGACTTCCTAGGGCACTTAATCCTGCAAGGAGCCTAAGAGATTAAGATGCTGAGACAATTTCTTATTCTCCTTTGCTGAGTTAGGGAGAAGCACTGGCAGTTAGGCTTTGCTCTGCATGTTTGAGGTTCCTGGTTTGGCAACTACCTTGAAGGTAATGTAGATTGGTGGCAGAGATGAATGATCTGCGGGGTCTTATTTACCAATGTTAGCAGAGGAAGAAATTATAACATGTTATCTATGGTGGCATTTAGCCCTTCCTCTGTTTTTCTGAATGATAGCTAGAATAACTGAATTATTTTTCAATCCCTTCCTGGATCTCATTGTACACTGGAGTAACCAGAATATTTTTTTAGATGTACATCGTGGTCCCCTTCACCCCATTTTTTTCATTTCCCCTCTCAAATCTTCATGTATCTGAACTAGAGTAGACTGTATGCTTCTTATGTTGAAGGGAGAAGTTGAAGAATATATTGTGCCTTCCCATTCTAGAGGAGAGGCCACCAATTACACAATGGATATATTTTCTCAAAAAGCTTTTTATGCTATAATTTCGATCCTCAGTGTATATAACATGCCATAGCTAACCTGTGTGCTCAACTACCATCCTATCCTGCCATTGATCAAATTGCTGTATTATTACTAAAGATGAATATTCAAATTGCTATAGGGGATTTGCTTAATTAGATAATGATTTCCTGTTCAATATAACGTAATTATCCTTTTTAACAATAAAATATAGATAAGAATTACATTGCCACAGTCATACATTCTTTCTACTGCTTCAGTTTGGATATTTGACTTCTACATGCCACAATTTTTTTTCTGCTTCAGTCATATAAGATATGACTCTGCCAGGATTTCTTTGGCATCTGATTCCATTTATATTGTTTTCAGGAAGATTTTGAAGTGAGAGGAGATGTAATTAATGGGAGAAACCATCAAGGACCTAAAAGAGCAAGAGAATCACCTGTTGGAAAGGTAATGCTATCGTAACTGTTATCCCACACACAAAAAAAGTTATCCCCAAAGTGTGCCCCTCTTCTTTGTCATCACAAGAAATGAATGCTTGCTGGAGAAAAAGGTTGCTTTCATAAAGTAGAATCCTGAAAAGGGCTTTCATTTTTCCTCAGGTCATGATGATCCTTTGGAGGAGAAATGTAGAATGCAATTATATTGTATATAAAATTGTCCAGATAAATAACACAGCCTACCTGAATAATTTTTGCAGCAATGCTTACTGCTACTAGCATTTCTTAACATACACTGGAGTTTTTCAGATTCTTTAAGTGGCATCGTATTATCCCAAATGAGGATGGAGATGGTGTGGTTTCCTCTTTAAAAAATGACTTGTCCTCTGAGCATTAAATAATACATTCAGAAATCATAAGGAAAGGGACAGCCACAGTTCAAAATGCCCTGTTGTCCTGTTGCCATAGAAGAACATAACTAATTCTCCCCCTCCCCCCAAAAAGGAGGGAGAGAGATTATAATGAGGAATCATAGCTAGGAGTTTGTGCAAGTAGTGTTCCAGAAGCAGCAGTGCTTACATCCTGCTATTTTGTTTTCATCATTTAGTTGGCCTCTGCTGTTCTTGGAATCCAAGGATTTGGAGGCTTGCCTCTGATCCCGCACAGGGGTGAATGCTGGATAGAATGTGGGTGGGAAGAAAGGGAGAGACCAGTTTAAGTTGGTCCCTTCTTTTCCCTAAGCATTTAATAACCCAAAAAGATATTTCCAGATTCCTTCTTGCCTTCCCTCTTAATAGGAAAATCTGTTGCAAGCTAGATACTTGGTAGAAATCTGGAAAGGTGAAATTGATGAAGCCAGTGCAACAGACATCAGCTACAGTAGTTCTCATTGACTAAAAGTAGATAACACTAACCAGTAGTTACTTCAGCTTCTTTTCCAGTTCCATTGCCTTAATGGTTTTCTTTCAGGTGGAGGATATAGATGTGTATAGTACTTGCTTATCTTTTCTTCCCTATGAATTTCTCTGCCTTTAAGAATTTTACTTTCCAAAGTTTCTATTTCTCAGCCATTTCTGTACTCAGTACCTAACTATTTTTTAAAGGTGAAGCAGATTAATTGAATTTTTTGGGGGATTAACAATTTAAATATTCAGAAATCTCACATCAGATCTTTCTCTCGTCTCACCGAAATGTCTCATTGTCAGTCTTCTGCAGCTGACATATTCCATTGCCATTCCCGAATGTAGTTTTTATTGTTCTCAAATCATATTAGCTGGATACATTCCAACCTAGTTGGTAATTTAAATCACACCATTTGAACTTTCCATTTTTTTCATGGAGTTTAATTCTACATCATGCTTACATATTTGTTTTCCTTTTCCTTCCTTCCCAGCTTTTCCAAGGATTGGAAATTTGCTGCTATGGGCCATTCACTGACATGCTCCCAGGTAGGAGGATTGGGATTCTTGATGTAAATTGAGGGAATGAATCTAACTGAAGTTTCAGGGAGTCTGTACGCTCCTTTTTGGTAATGTAAACAGTTGAGTTCTGTCAAGGAAATGATCCAACCTTTTGAGAAAAAGCTAACTACCGTAACTTTAATAGCTCAGGGTTTTTTTTTTTGCTCTTTCAGTGATATTTATCCTTTAATAAGGCAAGATTTATGTCCTGCTACAGAGACATTTCTGAATCTTGAATTTTTTTAGCCAGATTAATGTATATATGTTTGCCCATTTCATTCTGCTCCTAATTGTCATTAACAGAGATGATCATTCTGGCTATGTAGATAGTTATACTCATATTCCGTCTCAAATTGTGATGTGGTTTGAATACCTGTCTCCTTATCTTTTATCGATTTGCTTGATGAATAGTTCTTAAAATGCAAGTTGCAAAGATTATATGTTGTCCTGGTTAAATGCTATCTCTTCATCTTTTTTCTTAAAATTAAATATCTTAGTATCAGGAAGAGGTAATGCTTACAAAATTTGCAAATGGCACAAAATATAGGATAGTTAATATCTTGAAAGACTGAAATAAAGTTCAATATATCATCTTAATATTATTATTTAACAACAATCTTGGAAAGTGGTTTATGGCCTATAAAGGATTTTCAGCTGTCTTGCAACATCTCCCCCCCATGATCATGTGATTGCAGTCTGGGTGCTATTTGCACTTATGAATAGTTGCCAAATGATCCACAATCCTCTGTGCTAGCTTCCTCAGAAAGACAATGGGAAGCTGGCAGGGAAGCTTGCCCACCCCTCTGAGGCATTCTGTGCTATTTACTTGGGGCTCTGTCCACTTTGCAAACCACAAGATCCTTAATGACCATAACTGGGAGTGTTGGGATAACAATCATTGTGCAAAGCAGTCGCATATTGTCTTGCTTAACTATTGTTTTGTTGAAAAACTGAGATTCTAATCCCAATTATGATCATAAATTGAGGATAACCTGTACAAGTCTGAATTTGGTAGTTAATTTTTGTGACCAGTTCCATTTTTACAGAATTCAGAAATATAGACTATACAACTGAGGAATCCAAAACAAATTTGCTTGTAATGTCTGTAGTCATCAATTTGGGCTTAACATCTTATTGGGGGGGGAGAGAGAGGATAAAATACTTAGTCATTATATATAATGTATTTTGTTTATCTTTTGGGAATTTCTCAGAACAACTGGAATGGATTGTAGAACTCTGTGGCGCCTCCCTTGTGAAGCAACCTCACTTATTTGCACATGCAACAGTAAGCTTGATAACTATGGGCCAGTTGTAGAAAGGAAGATACCAATAAATAGCATTTCCCACCTTCTCTTTATTTTTTCAAAATTTCTGGTACATTTAGCTGGTTCTGCTTAGATATAGAATCAGATCAATGGCTTATCTTGCCTTGTATTGCTACCTAGAAATCCTCTCACCTAAGTCATTGAAAATAAACATAGAGCTAAGGGGCCGAATACTCTCTTCTGCCGATGCATGCAGCTCTGTGGGATTGCAATATATCACCCACTAAGAAGGCTTGTGTACAGTACTCATTTCTTTTTAAGAAAAAATATGTTTGTGAATGAGTGGTGATATATCAGTGTATGGCATCTGTTAAACTATAGCAGGGGTCTTCAAACTTGGCCCTTTTATGACTTGTGGACTTCAACTCCCAGAATTCCTCAGCCAGGCACGCTGGTTGAGGAATTCTGGGAGTTGAAGTCCACAAGTCATAAAAGGGCCAAGTTTGAAGACCCCTGAACTACAGTGTGTAACCTTTATATTCTGTCGTAGCTTTCCCATGAGTATCATATATCTCCTTTCACTTTTATTTTGTCACTTAGAGTAATTGTTTGCCTGTGAAATCTTTATTTCTTCTGTGAGCCCCCATCTGATTGGAGTACTACAGCAAAGCTGAAGACTAGTATGCCTTAGCAGTACAAATGATTGCATACAGGAAAGATGCATTGATCCTATATGCCACTTTCCTTTTCCTTTTTGTCTTTTATCCTGTAATCATTTAGAACTCGACTGCTGTGATAGTTGTTCAACCTGATGCATGGACAGAAGAAAGCACCTGCCAAGGTGAGATGATAATGCTGCTTGTGTCTCCCAAGTCGTAAAGGCTTTACAAAATGTCTGACTGACTTTTTGCTTGGTATAATAAAATATTGCAGCAAATAAACATGTGAGGAAATAAGTATGGTTGGCTTTAATCATCAGACATGACCGTCATTACCATCAACTTCTGTTCCCTAAGAAATTGGTAAAAGATATTATTGTTCTTTAACAGTAACAGAGTTGGAAGGCACCTTGGAAGTCATCTAGTCCAACCTCCTGTTCTCAGAGGAGACCTATGCTATTTCTGATAAACGGCTGTCCAGTCTCTCTTAAAAGCCTCCAGTGATAGATGGGGCACCCACAACTTCCAAAGGCAATTTGTTCCACTGGTTAATTGTTCTCATTTTAGGAATTTTCTTCTTAGCTCTAGGTTGCTTCTCTCCTTGGTTAGTTTCCATCCATTGATTCTTGTCCTGCCTACAGATGCTTTGATAAATAAGTTGCCCCCTCTTCCTTGTGGCAACTCTTTGTATATTGGAAGATTGCTAGCTTGTCACCCTTGTCCTTCTTTGCACTAAACTAGGTATATCCAGTTCCTGCAATTGTTCTTTGCATGTTTTAGCTTCTAGGCACGTTATCATTTTGTTGCTCTTCTCTGAACTCCTTCCAAAGTTTCAACATCTTTTGTGTATTGGGATGACCAATACTAAGACTTTATAAAGTGGTATTAGTACTTCATATGATCTTGATTCTATCCCTTTGTTACTGCAACCTAGGATTGCTTTTTTGACTGCTGCCGCATACTGTTGGCTCATGTTTAAATGGTTGTCCATTAGTCTATACTCGTACTTTTGATTTTTCTTGCTTAAATGTAAAACCTTGTTTTCTCTGTTAAATTTCATATTATTGGATAAGGCCCAGTGAACTAGTTTATTGAGATCCATCTGGATCTTGGGCCTATCTTCTAGGACAGGGGTCTTCAAACTTGGCCCTTTTATGACTTGAGGAATTCTGGGAGCTGAAGTCCACAAGTGATAAAAGGGCCAAATTTGAAGATCCCTGTCCTAGGACATTGGCTATTCTTGCCAGCTTGGTGTCATCTGCCAATTTGTTGAGTTCCTCTTCTATACCCTCATTTAAATTGTTTATGAAGGTATTGAAAAGTACCGGGACTAATATATATATCCCACTGCTTACTTCCCTCTTTGTAGATATAGTTCTGTTAAGGACTACATGTTGAGTGCAGTTTGTCAGCCAGTTACAAATCCATCTGGTGGTGATGCAATCTATCCCACATTTTTCTATTTTACCAAGAAGTAGATTATATCAACTGTCAAATGCCTCACTAAAGTCCAAGTATACTATGTCTGCTGCATTTCGCTGGTCACAATTAATCACTTTGTCAAAGAATGAAATAAGATTTGTTTGACATGATCTGTTTCTGATAAACCCATGTTGGCTACTAATTATAGCTTTGCTTGCTTTTAGTTCTTTCCAGATCTGCTGCTTGATCCTCCCAAGTGTTGATGTCAGGCTGATTAATCTATAGTTTCCTGGATCTGTTTTTTTCCTTTCTTAAAGATGGAACCACATTAGCTCTTTTCCGGTCTCCTGTCAGTTCTCCGGTCCCCCCAGATATTTGAAAGATATGATTTACTGTCTCTTACAAAGAGAAAGAAATAGAGCAAGGAACTTTGAACTGCCTGCCTCTACCCTGCACTGTTTAGAAGAAATGTCTGTGGTTTCTTAGTTTCTCCAAACAGTAATGCAAATGAGAGTTTATCTTTCTGTTTTTCATATCTGCTTTTGGATAGTCAGAGAATCCAATTGAGTTGTATGAATAAAAAGCTTCTCTCTTATTTATACACATTATCTTGTAAAGGATGGTTACAACAACGATGGAAAAATTATGATTTTCCATGCTTAGGTTAAGGCATTTGAAATGTTATTCCTCAAAATGGCTTAAAGAAAGAACTCTCAAAAAGAAGATATAGACATTAAATGTCTCATTGCTTCTCTGGTATTTTGCAGCGCTCCCGCTGCAATGCAGCATTGCTGTAGTTTCACGTGAGTGGGTGCTGGACAGTGTTGCCTGCTATCAGTGCCAATCATTCAGTGACTACATCTTTCAACAGGTATGATGGAATTAGTTCTTAGAATTATACCTGAACATTTTTGGAATAATTTTCTTTACAAAGAATGTGACATTATAAATATTCGTTGGCCTAAAATGCCCTGCCTTTCACCAAAGATAGAATTAAATTGATAAATATCAATTTTCAGCATAGTTATTGCAGTGGATCACAAAATCATGTGTTCTTTATGTTGATGTAGATTATTTTACAACCCACTATTGCCTTGTTTGGAAAGATTTTTTTCTGTCTTCATGATGTTATCATTTGCAAGAGTTAGAACAAAGAGCTAGCTGGATAGCAGCTAATTGTCTGCTTGTTTCAATGGGAGAGTGTTCAAAGAGGCAGTTATGCTGGATCATTGGTATAGCATATTAATATAAGCAAACCAGATTGGAGATGGCCCAAGAGATCACTGCAAGGGACCATAGGGTGATAAAAAGACTCAAATGTTTGTGTTTGATAATAAATGAGTCAGAAATGTAATCTATTAGAAATTCATTATCTGTCTCACAAGTTAAAAGCAAACTTGATTTGATCATTACCACAATCATTGTAGTGAGTGTGGTTGGCCTTAAAACTGTATAGATTTTTTAATACAATAAAGAAACTTCAATAGAAAACTGAATGGGAACAATCTCACTTCTCCGGCTTGCATGACAGCAGATGGTATATGCTAAAAGGGGAGAAGATAATTATCCTCTTTCATTCATCTGCCCATTTCAGGAAATTAAGTGGATAGGTGCAGAGGAAGCAGATAACATTAGTGCCCTCAGCAAGGACTCCCTCACTGGTTTCTCATTTCTTCCAATAGTAAACTTGGGCTATCTCACAAGCATATTTTACTCCCTGTGCATGTGTGCACATGTTTTAAATTTTATGTTCATTTCTTGATTGTGTGTGAGAGAGACAGAGAGAGACAGAGATTTTCTCTGGATGTGGCAAATTTTCTGTTAATTAATATAATTCGTTTTCTGCAAGCAAAGATAAGTCCCTAAATCTAAGCCCAAGGAGCCACTGATGCTTTGTACATGCTTTGTTGGCTATATTTCTATTTCATTAGCTATTTTAATATGATATTTTCTGCAAGCAAAGATGAGACCCTAAATCTAAACCCAAGGAGCCACTGATGCTTTGTACATGCTTTGTTGGCTATATTTCTATTTCATTAGCTATTTTAATATGATATTTCTATTAATTAGGAAAGTTAGAGTATTTTGTTATAAGTATTATCCTTATATATAGGTAGTTCTCAACTTATGACCATAATGGAGCCTGCCCATTATGGTCACAAGTTGTAATGATCGTTAAATGAGGTGCCCACATGATAATTCGCCTGGTGACTTCAGTCTTGCTCTCACTGTTGCATTTGTTAAGCAGAACACACGGTTCCCCAAGAGTGGGGGAACTCTTGGGAGGTCTGATTCAGAACCATACTCACATACTGCAGCACTTTCCCAGTTCACATGTGGCCTTCCAGGGCCTCCCCCTGCTACCTGTGGCATCCCATTCTCTGTTTTCCAACCTGCTGGCTTGGGCCTACTTTCCACCCCACTGAGATCCCCTTCCTTTTCCCCACCCAACATCATGGCTTGGCCACTTACCTTTTTTGTAAATCCCGTTTGAAAGAGCCAGCTGTTCAGCTGTGTAGCCTTTCTACACAAAGGTCGTGTGTGCTGTCCCAGAACTGTATCTCTCCAGTGATTTGCATTTGGGAAGGAGAGCAAGCCAATCTGCCCCTCAGCCTTCCTATTCAGTACAGATACCATGAACTGTTGTCTCAGAAGTGGGTGCTGTTTCAGAGCAGCCACAATTCCCCAAAGGGTGCCCACTTCTGGAATGGTGCCATATGGCTTCTGTGTAGAAAGGCCATGAGATGGAATGGCTGCTTCCCAAAGGAGATTTACGGAAAAGGTAAATGATCAAGCCATGATGGGGATAGGAAGGAGGTGTGGGACCAGGTGAGGTGGGAAGCAGGCCTATGAGAACCCAGCAGAGTGGGATGTGGGAAAAGATAGACATGGGGGCACTGTACATCCCTGGAGTTGTCATAAGGACAGGCAGATTGCCAAGTGCCTGAATTTTGTTCACATGACTGTGGGAGCAATGTAGTAACCATACGTTTCTTCGTGAATATATTGCTGTAATATTTAAAGACATGTGCTAAGACTTTATTTTTTTACTAAAAATTATCAAAGATTAATTTAGCAACAGATTTTTTAAAATAATTCAGTGTTTGATGCAAATGCTTATAACAAGTCATATGCATTGTCTTGATTTGAGTCTGTAAATACTGTAAACAACATGGGAGGCAGAGGGGGATGGTGCAAACCAGAGTCAGTGAAAAGGGCAGTAAAGCATACAGGCAGATGCAGCCAGCTAATGAAGGCCTGACATTCAGGAAAAACAAGAGGGTCAGTGCTGCTCGTCAGAGTCCTGATTGCCAAGAGTCCTTGCTCAAATGATCAGTCTTCTATCTCCTTCTGTTCCCAGGAACCATCTTCCATGTCTGAATAGTAATGTTCTTATAGCCCAAATGGGATTACAGCTTTCAATGGTTTCTCACCTGCACTAATAAGCGAGTTTTGGAAACTGGAGAAGTATCTATCCTGATTCCTCCCTCGTGGTGTCTTCCATCAGATTCCAAGTCCAGGAGCAATCTCTAATGTATGCATTTATTTTCTTTATTTTCTTTAATTTATCTATTGCCGTGTGTTTCCAGGTGGTGTACAAAATGAGCATACCTTTTGTACAATTCAGTTAATAGTTGAAATAATAAAATATGTAAATCACATTAAATACTGGCAGTAAGAGTCAGAAGACTAACACTTTAACATGTTATCAAATAAAAAAAATTCTCAATTGGGTTTGTGCATGTTTTATTTATAGTTGGATATTTTCCTCAGAGGACTGATTGCTCTGCAGTTTCTGTTTCCATAGTGCCAATCTCAAGCTCAGGCTCTACTTTTTGCTTCTCTGTTGAGATGCAGGTGGTGTTGACCTAACATGCTCTTCTTTTCCATGTCCTAGTTACTGCTCAAGAAGAGATTAAAACCCTTGAGGCAATTTACCAATATCACATAAGGAGTATCTTTTACAGTTACTGTACGTGAAAGCATAGTTTAAAACAATATTGTTTTAAAGTTATCATGCTTTTCTATATGCAAATTCTAAATCAACTGAAGTAAAGTTTTCTGGAAATAAATTCAGCAGAATAAATTAGCCAGGTAAAAGCCTTAACAAACCTAGAATTCAGCAAAATTAAATGTATTGTATACGTATATGTGGAGTTTGAGCATTTGATTGAGAATTTGTAACCTAGTACTGTGAAAAATCTGATTTAAATTTCTTAAAATGTTTCGTTCAGTTCACTTTTCCCCAAAGGCTCCCTCAGTTTAAATTCCTATATTTAAGGGGCTTTAATAGTGCTTATTCACTATACTGTAATTCCTAGATTGTATTTTGTAATATGTATTGCAAGTATAATTATTCACAAAACCTTCTATTAAGGCAGAGGGATATGATAAAGCAGCCATTTTTAAAATGTAAGATAGCACTTTCATTGATGGGTTTCTCTACTTGTTCTATTGGAATGAGAACTGGATGCATCTCTGCATGTTACATGCCTTCATAATGAGTAACTGCCTAACTAATGTTCACTTGCATGTAGCAGAATCCATAGCTTGATTATATCAAATGGTCTCATCTTTTGCCAAGAGTTTATGCTTCACCTTTTGACTGACAGGTTTCTTATCTTCAAAGTCCACCTTGGCTTCTGTTATCTGTCTTCCAGAAGATTATAGCTGTCTTGCAAAACATTGCCTATGTAATATGAGGAAACTGGCAACATGCCCCCATAGGCACTGCTCTGAATTATCTTTCCATTTGGAAGGTGAACATCGATGCAGGGCTATTGGAAAGGTAGTTAAAATCAAGATGGTAAAGGAGAACAAAAGATTTTTGCATAGCATTTGGAAAGAGTACAGTAGGAACAGAATAGAACAGAACAGAATAGAATACTTTATTTGGCCAAGTGTGATTAGATACAAGGAATTTGGTTTCAGTGCAGCATTTCTCAGTATACATGCCCAGCATAATTTGTTGCTATCAGCTATGCTCATAAAACTGATTTGGGTTTTTTTTTAAAAAAAACCAACAACCCAAAACCTATTTCTGCATCTAAGTTCCAATAATAAAGTGAAAAATATAGACTTTTTAATGTAGGCAGAGCATGGGATTTTATACTGAAAAATTTCCTTCTCTGGTGTGCAGATTTGTTCTCTGGCATGATATCACTTTTGAATTTAAGTTACATTTACCCTTTTGGTGGAGTATTTTCTTAGGATTTAATGGAAGCAACCATTTTCTATGACCGCAGGATAAACTGAAATACAGAGTTGTGTACAACCCAAAATTGTTCTTGTTTTCTTCTTGCAGCTATCTTGCTGAATCCTGGTTTCTTGTTATTTTGAAATGGAAATTCATACAAATTGACTATTTAAAACAATTGTTTTGAAGCTCTTCTGCCAAAAAAGAAAAATAAAATCTTTGCCCTGCCCAAATGTATGATGTGATTCCCATCTACTTTGCAATATTACTATTTCTTGGCAATTATAATTCCTGCTAACACTACTAAATATAGCCCCTTCTGATCAAAAGGTTGCCCGTCCCTGCTTTGGGAAGAGCCACCAAACCCTGTGGTTTTAATTTGGCCTCTTGCTATTCCAACTACAAATAGGAACTTGGGCAGTTTTGTCTCCTCACTCCCCTTTTGCTTAAAACCAAAACGTTTTTGCATCTTTTACACAAATTCTATGAGATTGAAGCCTAGAATAACTCCTAGTAGGTGATGGGAGAGGGCAGCATCTGGGTCTTGAATAGCTTAGACTAGAGTATAAGCAGGTCTAAGTGGGCAGACAACACCACTATCACCACCAGACATAAAAATATAGCAAATGCAAGACTTCACCTTTCTGCTGTTATTTTAAGAAGCTGTCTCTTTGAAAAAGTCATAATAACCTGAGTTGCCATTTGCAAAAGATTGATAGCATATCATTAACCTTCTTTAGCTTCACTACTATATCAACTCCTCACTTCCCCACCCTGTGACACCTATTCTTTGCTTACTGAATATAAAACATGATATATTTCTTTGCCAAGTGCAAAAGGGCCCGAAGCAAAGACATTTGCAATGGGTTGGATTATGGTAGAAGAGAAAGACTATCATTGGAAATGACAAGATAATTATTTTCTGGAGAGGGAAATATAGGCCTACAAAAATATTAGCCAAGGCCAACACAACTTCCAATAATCTTTCTACCTTTGGTGTCTGGTTCTTTTTCATCAGATACCAGAAATTTAAGTTCTAAGGTTCTGCATTGGCAGCACATACACCTTGCATTAAAAATATCTATTTTGGCCAGGTGCTATATGTATGGTTCTTATTGTGCCTAGAGGCACTTGGTTGGGACTGATTATTGCGATATATTACAAGATAGAGCTTAGCCTAGAACAGGGGTGTCAAACTGCCAGCCCATGGGGCTGTTGCATCAAACGGAAGCCGCGCCCACCCCATCTACGGCAATGCAAAAAAAGTTGAGATACGTCACGACACGTCACATGACACAACGAGTTTGACACCCATGTCCTAGAACAGCTCTGATAAGCCTGATGGAGAATCTATGTGGGAGAATGATCCTCTTAATTTTCTTGGATATTTCAGCTGTGTTTGGTCCCATTGACAATGGTCTGAAATATTTATATTCTTATAATGTAGTGATGGAGAAATTGCTTTATTTGTATGAGAGATAAAAGATGGTGTGCTACAGACTCTGTTTGGGCCACCCACAGTCTCATACTGTATGAAAGCACAGAATGAGGTCATTATATGTATGGTTGTCAAATTCATGGCAACCATTCTATTTCTCCTTATATGCTACTGATGCACTAAACCAGCTCTCTGCTTTGTGGGTATATTTACATTTATTAAAACAAATTATTAAGACATAAATTATTACTAGATACAAACCTCTGGAGCAAGGTCAGATGACATTTTAGTTGCATAAATAAAAAAAAATCACAGATACTTTCCCCCAAAATCTGTCAATAGCAGAAAATGCAGATAAACTTTTATATATATATACCTTCTATGCTCTGTCAAGAATGAAAGCTAGCATGAGGCCATATACTTGGCCAATTGAATTACCTACCGTTTGTTTATTTCTCACAGTTCCACCAAGTCCTAGCTTGTAGTGAGGAATCCAACCTAAATATTTGAAAATGTGGATTTTGCACCACAATGGGGATCAATGCATATTTTGTGCCTCCTCTTCTGAGTAAGTGTAAGGCATCACAGGAATAGACAGGACGGATACCAATGCAATCATGTTACTCAGGAAGACTCTAATTCAGATTAACTTCTGTATCCAGGCTCCCTAAAGCATACAGTGTTCCAAAATGATTGTTCAAAATGTTCTGTGGCATGCTGGGGAGACACAAGCAGCAGTTCACAGTGAAATAACTGCATGCCTGTAAGCAGCTGTTGCTTGTGTCTTCCTCTCAGTCACAGCTCTTCGTGAACCCAACATACTATATAAATGTGTTGGTATGCACCCTCCCTGGGAAAACCTTTGATTTGCAACAGAGAGAGCTGGGAAACAGCGCAATGCAGGCAGCCGTCGTAGGCAACCCCCTCTTGACTGTGCTTGGTCTACATTACGTCATACTTTGCTTGGCAACATAATTTGCTGTATGCTGGGATGGGAGGGGCCATGTGCATATGAGCTTAGTCCCAACAACTGCAGAAGAGCTGGGCTGAGTTTGACTGAATTAAATCCATGCAGCAGTTAAGTCTTCTAATTCTTGTTCTGGGAGTGTTGGTGTGATAATCTGTAACCTCACGATTTTTAAATCTGTGGTATAGTCCCAATGACGCTTTGAAGGCAGATCTGTTGGCTTTATCATGCACCCATTCTAAACACAGAAATATGGAGTAGCATAAGAGGAGTGTTCTGTATCTCTGAAGGGGAAAAGTGATAGTTTATGACCAGTCCCTTACAAATTGCAGGCTTTATATACACAAAGCAAAAGGAAATGTTTACTTTCTTACAATTAACTCATGCATGGAAGGGAGCTTAGAGACAGCTACGGTTTGCCAAAGTGCCTCTAAATTTGGTAACTGAATAGATAAATCTGCCATGTTCAAATTAGTGACCTGATGGTCTGAACCTGAATTATCCTGTTCAGAACAGACAGGGACTTTTGTAACTTTCCGTTCATAGAAACTCAGAAATATATAAATTTGGGATGGAAATCTTGGGAAGTTAGATACAGTCATTTCAGGACTCCCATGTCTTATCCTTCCAATGCCCCCTCCCTATCCTGCCCATCTCCATCCTGGTTTCTGGCTTGCCTGCAGAGGGAGATCCAGTTTACAGTTTGTTACAATTGTGGATTAGAACTCCAACACAAAAGTGGAGTGGGAAGAGGTCCAAACCTGGCTAAAATCCTGTGCAGCTGTTGCTTCCTGCTGCTGGTTATGCCCTAAAGCCCTGACTGGGCTAAATGACCCCTATTGCTACCATTTTGGCAGAAGAGCTGAAGGAGGGTGGGATTTATGTATTTGCTCATTTGATAGCGTGATATAAATTCTGAATTTGATAAAAATATCTTGAAAGTGAAAAAGCCCACAAATAAGAATAAGGTACACAGCATATTCTTACAAGATAATGGTTTGGATTGTTTTTCTAATTAAGTGCTTAGGAAGATTGTGCAACTGACACAAAAACTGGCAATCTATATTTCTAGCCTTAGGTGATCATGCAAAATCCTAAGTTTTTTCCCCTAATCTA